GTTCTAGAGTTTGACGAGTTGGGTCAACCTACTGGGCAGTGGCGCAGCAAATATTCCACACACATTGGCATCCTAACTCGTAAAATACCGATCACACTTGATTGGGCAGAGATTCCAAAAGGGTTGCTTCAAATGTTTTGGGATGATACAATGGTAAGTGTTTATTATTTCAGTTTTGTTCATGAAACGTTGAGTCAAAATCAATGCATTCGTGCCTAAAAACAAAACTTCGAGCCTAAAAACAAAAATTCGTGCCTTAAAACCAAACTTCGAGTTCAAAAAACAAAAATTCGTGCCTAAAAACCAAACTTCGAGCCTGCCTCGTTGTGGGTGCAGCATGACAGGCATGACTGGGCTGCCTGCCTGGCTGGGCAGGTGCCTGGCTGGGCTGCCTGCCTGCCTGGCTGGGCAGGTCACTGCCTGGCTGGGCTGTGCACCTGCCTGGGCCGCTGCCTGCCTGGCTAGGCTCTTGCTTGGCTGTGCAGCCTGCCCGGGCTATTTTGCAATGTGTTTTTTTTTTTTTTTTGGCTAATTCCTTTCTCCATTTTTTCCTCAATTTTTTTTCACTTTACTAACATGGAAGTTTGCGATTCTTACAGAGTGTGTTCAATATTCCCGATAACCCAGACAAGAGGAGATCGTATGAAGGTTTTGTACAAGAGAGATTCAAAAACTCCAAAAGTTGTTAAGAACAAGATGGATCCATAAGAAACAAAGGCATAAACCCAAGAAAACTTTGATGGGTAATGTAGGAGAGGATGAAGTTGAGAAGAAACCGTGGGATGTATATCCACAAATAACGGTGAAGGACTGGGAGAAGTTCATGGCGAAATCAACAACTACTACTGCACTTGTATGTAATCTTATATAAATTACAGTTACTTTGAAAAATTTGCTCACTTCATATAATGATGCAAACAATTGCTAATGTGTAGGAAAGAAGTCAACAAGCTACGCGCAATGCTGAGAAGAAAATGTATAACCATCATATGGGTTGTAAGACATTTGCGGAAAGTCGAGAAAAGTGGATCAAAGAGGGTTTGTACCCCACATCCAAAATATCTTCACCTGATACACCGATTCCCTCCACAGTGACATCTTTGGTGAGTCGTGCCAATGACTGGTGGTGTGCTATGCATGGGATCGACAAGAACACCGGGAAGTACGTCATGCACCCGGATACCAAAATAGTAGCAGATGCACTTGTAAGCACCCTAATCTATGACATTTATGATAATATTTCACCGTTATCATTATCTAATATTTCGATAACGACTACATCTAACTTAGAATGAACCAAATTTTTTTGTGTTGTTGCAGCTCGAGCATACGTCAGAAGTGGTTGAAGGCAAGCTCACTCCAAGCATTGAGAACGATCCTTTTACCTTAGCTTTGGGAAAACCATACCACCCTGGGCGAGTAATTGGAGCGGGCGACAAACAACTTGGGTGGGAAAAGGTTATGGGTTCAGATTACACTAGATCAGGAAGATCTAGATCAAGTGTTAATTCGCCCTACCGAATGGATGCCAAGGAAAAAGAATCAATAAAGGCGGAGATTCGCAAAGAGGTGCAAGAACAGTTGCAAAGTCAATTTAATGCTATTTTGAAGCATATGAACTTGCCAACCTTGTCTATGCCCCTGGTAACCCCAGTTGACTCATGTAGTCAACCCAAAGATGCCATGGACGATCCACTTGTTGGCAGCGAGGTAATTGAATTACAATTGAGTTCAATGGCCTCCATATCATCAAACGAGGCCTTAGCATGATTGTTTTGAACTTTTGCAGAATCCTAGTCCGACGCATGCAAACTCAAGAGGGATTGCAAACCAAAAACCTGATCCTGTTCCAGATGTTCAGGTAATTTCCAAGTCTCACTTATATGTCCTTGTATTAGCATGACGTTGGTTAATTAGGTTATAACTTGTCCTAATAAAATGTGTAGGAAGAGATGCCATGTGAGCTCCTTCACCCCGAGAAAAACATGGATGGTGAGTTGGTGGGGCATGGTAGCGCACAACCGTTTGACAAGGTCCATTTCAAGTCTACTACTAATACCCACTACATCTCCGTCGGCATCAATTCCATAGTACCTGGGTTTGAGGACTTGCCACTACCGATGCCTAGAGAGGAATATGAATTCATCACACTACTTGATGCGAAAGGTAGCTTTGTGCAATGGCCACGTGATCGAGTGAGGTTGATAGGAGGGGTAACTGTACACTACTTAGCTTGTTTTTAAAACATGTCCTAAACAACTTGTAATTTAACCATGTGCTTTTATGTTACAAATGAAAATCAGTCATCCAAAATGAAGAAGGTGGAGAAGCCAAAATCTAAGAATGTCCAACAAGGACAAGGACAAGGGTTGACGAAGAGTTCGAGAGGTTCGGCTGCGAGTTGTACTCCACTAGTAGAAGCTGACATACTGAACTCGCTGTCCAAAGCATGTACTTTTCTTCACAACCGTGTGAGCGAGTTGCCTAGGGGTAGATCTATTGAAGTGACTTTACCTAAGGCAATGTTCCACTATGATGACGATGGGATCGCACCAATTACAAAAGAGGATGTGAAGGAATTTCTATCGGGTGCCATGCTTAACATTTTCATTATCCAAGCTTTCATGAAGTAATTCACTACCACTAATCATAATCACCCTAACTTTGGATTTTTGAATATAAACAATGTAATTAATAAGTAATCCCTACATTACTGTCGTGAAGGGTACTACAGGAGCACCTTGTTAGTGGATGCAACTCCGAGGCTGCAATTGGGTGGTTATGCCCCGAGCAAACCTCCATTACCAAATGCTTAAGCAACCCTCGTGAAGTGGAAGATTACCTAGAAAGGAGTATGAAGGAATCAACTCGTGGTGGAGATAAGTTCATATTAGCCCCATGTTTTGAGGAGTACGTCACAAAATGTCATAATTTAGTTTTTTTCCAAATTCTGAAATTGCAGTTAGCTCAGGCGTATAATATGTTCACGTTTATGTAAATATATGCAGTTATCATTGGACCCTTTTGGTGATTTGCGTATCCAGTAACACAATCTACCACTTTGATTCTATTCGACAGACTCCACCACGAAGGTTGCTAGTGAAGAACCTACTGAATAGGTACATATTGCTTCCCTTTGTTGATTGCCCTAACCTAAATCATTGAGAATTTATGTTTCTAACTTAGAACTTATTTTCCTAAAGTGTTATGAAGAAGTTAAACTGTCGATCTGTTGCGGGTCCTAAGTGGAAATATGCAAAGGTAATGCCTTGAGTTAGTGATTTGTTTAATATACTTGGCTTCGGTAATGGCTACACATGATAACAGTACCTTTGTGGCATGTCAGTGTGCGCAACAAAACAACGGACTTGATTGTGCCCTATACGTGATGAGGTTTATGCTTGACATAGTCAACAATTGCTCGGAAGCACAACAAGTAGATGAGGTATGCTTTTACTGTATTCAATCTATACCTTGCTTCCATTATTGCACCGAACATAAAACAAGCGTAACACATGGGGGGGTGCTACATACTGATGACAATGTTTGATTTTTTTTTTTGTCATCTTTAGTTTTGCAAGGTTGAAAGTGTAGGTCCGTTGTCAAGCAAGGAAATTAATGAAGTTCGCGAAATGTGGGCTTTTTTCGTCACATTTGATGGCATCTAGGTAGAATCGGTGTAATGGTTATATTGGTTAGAAGCTCACTTATGCCGTTATCTCCTACTTATCCTCCTATAACATTGTATTTGCATGAAAATGATTATTTTTAAGAAATTTCAACCTTTAAACATGTTAAATATACTAAATATGAACTGTTAGAATGAATGTATGTTAGTTTATAAAGAAAACAAAGAATTTGGGTAAGTAAGAAGCTTGTTTGAGAAATTTTCACCTACTTACGCTCCTATAACCTCGTATTTGCATGAAAATGAATACTTTTAAGAAATTTCAACCTATAAACATGTTAAATATACTAAATATGGTATGTTAGAGTAGTTGGATATTAGTTTATAAAGAAATCAAAGAATTTGGGTAAGTAAGAAGCTAACTTATGCCATTTTCTCCTACTTATGCTCCTATAACGTTGTATTTGCATGAAAATGAATACTTTTGAGCTATTTCAACCTATAAACATGTTAACTATACTAAATATGATTTGTTAGAATTAGTAGATGTCAGTTTATAAAGAAAACAAAGAATTTGGGTATGTTAGTAGCTCACTTATGCCATTTTCTCCTACTTATGCTCCTATAACCATGTATTTGCATAAAAATTATTACTATTATGCAATTTCAACCTATAACTATGTTAAATATAATAAATATGAGGTCTTAGAATAAGTAGATGTTAGTTTACAAAGAAAATAAAGAATTTAGGTAAGTTAGAAGCTCATTTGAGCTATTTTTCACCTACTTATGCTACTATAACCTTGAATTTGCATGGAAATGAATACTTTTAAGCAATTTTGACCTATAAAAACATTAAATATACTAAATATGAGTTTTTAGACTGACTAGATATTAATTTATTAAAAAAAAACATTTGCAGCAGCCTAGGCCAAGAACCAAAGCAGGTTGCCCAGGCAGCTGCAGCAGCCAAGGCAGGCAGGCCAGGCCACTGCAGCAGGCCAGGCAGGCAGGCCAGGCAGCTGCAGCAGCCAAGGCAGGCTGCCCAGGCACCACTACAGCAGCCAAGGCAGGCTGCCCATGCCAGGCAGCAGCCCAGGCAGGCAGCAGGCCAGCCAGGCAGCCACCCAGCCAGGCAGGCAGCCACCCAGCCCAGGCAGGCAGCCACCCAGGCAGGCAGCAGCCCAGGCAGGCAGCAGGCCAGCCAGTCAGCCACCCAGCCAGGCAGGCACCCAGCCAGGCAGCTGCCCAGTAGCCTGTACACGCACGTGATGCATGTGATTTTTGCGCATTTCGGCCATTTTCGTGATTTTTGGTGAATTTCTGTGATATTAGTGCATTTCGGTGTTGTGATACTCATGACAATGTTTGGTTTTTTTTTTTTTTTTTTTTTCCTCTAAAGTTTTGCAAAACAAGTGCAAAATGGAAGAACCGGCCGAATGACCGAATGATTCATAAATTAAACTTAGCCGACCTTATGGTCGACTAAAATGAGTTAACTGGTACAATCGGAAAAGATTGTCAAATAACCCGACCCCTCGGTCGGTAAAGATACAAGAAAACATACGGCACGCAGGCCGGAGAAAGTAATACATGGCCATCAGGCCGCAAGAAAAATACAAGGCTTAAGCTTCAGGAGGGGGCTTCTCAGTATCGGCAGCCGCATCCTTATCCTCTCTAGTCGGCTCCTGATCTTTTTCGCCATCCTGCTCCTCCTCCTGATCGGCAGCCGCATCCTTATCCTCTCTAGCCGGCTCCTGATCTGCACAATCAACACTTTGTAAATACTTGGTGTAAATTCGACCTATAAACCGACTGCTTTCAGAGGTACTGGTCGACTACTGATTGAATTTGACCCTACAAGGGTAAGGCAAAGGATTAAAGCTTGTAATAGCTTCGGCCGCCTCCTCCTTTTGGGCCCGGCTACTCTCAGGGTCGGCTGGGGACTTAGGAGGATGGGTCCTTCCTAGCCTATGGGCCACATGTTTCCTGGGTCTACTAGGAGTCGACACATCGCCGGCTGTTTGCTTCTAAAGCTTCGGGTCTGGTTGTGAAGATAGAGAAGGTTTGGATGAACCGCCCTGCATATAAACCAAAATGAGTAAGAAGCAGGCGGAAAAAATAAATCAAAACTTGGATGTCTTGGACGCCTTCGCGGCATCCGGCTCCTCGCCCTTCCGCTTGCCCAAAAGGGAGCGGTAGTAGGCGGCTGGTTTCTTGGTGGACGAGAGCTTCTCCATTGCTTTATCTGCATAAGAAGATTCAAATGGTTAAGTAAGTGGGACAAAATGGTTAAGTCTTACTAAAAATCTAAACACAGTCGGTCGACTACCTCTCGGCCTCTCTACACTTAGACCGCAGGCGGCCAGATAATCCCCATCAGACAGCCAGTCATATTGGGGAATTTAACTTTGGGGAATGACCTCCTTCACCCAAGTCCCCTCATTAGGCCGGATGGTCACTTTAAAGAGGCCCTTGTCCAAGATCTCCTCCGTGGATTTTCTGGGTACAGGCGGTAATTCAGATCCGCCTGATAGCAAAGGAGGGTTCCAGTTCCACCAGTTGTATTTTTTGTTCTTCACTTTGTCAGGAGAAGAGACAATGTAGAACTTTCTTCTCCAGTCCTTCCACTTCTTCTCCTTTCCTATTGTCATCATATAGCCTTTGTGGCTAGACAAAGTGTACCATCCGGACCCGCTTGCTTTAGGGGTCCGGTTGAGATAATGCTTATGGGCGAACGCCTCGAAGCTGAGATCCACCTCTAGCATTTCGCAGGCGACAACATAGCCTAGGATATTTACCCAAGAGTTTGGGGCCAGTTGCCAGATACCCAGCTGGTATCCATCCAAAATTCTGTCCACGGGCGGATGGATGGTGAATCTAAGGCCGACTTGAATGGCCGCCTCATAATAGCTAAAGCATTCGTCCCCGTAGCTGGACCTTTCTGGCCAGACTATAGTGTCCTCGGTATCCGACACGCACAAAATGAAGTCATGGCCCATGACATGATCAGCTCGAAAACTTCCCACCTTGTCAGCCATAGCTTTCTGCCTGCCTGCGGGAACATGATGATAGTAAGCAGCAAACTGCTCTCTGCGAGAAGCAGACAGCTCGGCCCAGCCCTCGCCCTTTTCTACAGAAAGGGACTCTCTCGCTGTCTCCAGCCGAGACTGCATTTCCTCAGAGTCATTGGAGGATCTGCCAGTAGTACTAGGCTTGGACTCACTGTTTGAGCCGTCGGACCTATCGTTTGCTTGGGGGCCTGTCGAGTAGAGCCAGAGGCATCACTCTCAAACTCCTCCCCTGATTCTTGCAAAATAGAATCATTGGGGGTACTTGGGGTGCCAGGCAGCACATCAGAGATTTCACTAACAGGCGCCCTAAAGGAGCCATCTAGGTTCCGTTGCCTTGCTGTTTGTTTAATTCTGGCCATGGTGTCCTGCACAGACACAGGGATAGTCGGACTTGGAGAAGTTCGCAAAGGGTGGTCCAGTAAGGGGCAGTCGGCACTCCCAGTTCTAGATTTAGCCGTCCTCGGTGACCGGCTAATCCCTAACCTAGGTTGTGCCGTGTACTTTTGGGAAACCATTTTCAAAAAGAAAAGAACCAAAGTAAAATACGAGAGAAAAGCAGTCAGTTACCTTTAGTTTGAAGGTACCGTAGGCGCTTGAAAAAGTCTTGAACGATTGTGGAAACAAGCGGTCAGGTACTGGCGACAGTTGCTTTTCTCAGAAAAAGACAAAGTTCTTTCCTAAAAAGTCCAAAGATTCTATGTCCAAAAATCTTGAGAATGTGCGAAAAAATGATAAGGGAATGACCTTTATATAAGGGACAAGAATCTCAAGGGGCACCCCTGAAGAATGTTTCGAAAAAAAAAAGGTAAAAAACCGTTCGCCTATCCGCATGTGACACATGTCACAGGCACCACGTGGCAAGCCACGTCACCCCTGTGAGGGGAAAATGATTAGGGGATTTTTACCCCGCCAGTGGACCAATCAAAGTCTGCCACGTGGACCAATAAGAGTCTGCCACATGTTAGCCTAAGGAGAGCCTTAAGTGGACCAACTGGGCTCGACACGTGGCAGACAGATATCCAACTAGGAAAGGCGGCCTTCAAAGGCCCAAACTCCTAGGCAGCCCAATCAGTCCTAGGTTTCCGTACCCTAGGACTTGGCACGCATTTTGAGATACTATAAAAGGGAGATGTTTCCCACAGAAACACATTCAAGACATTGAATTCACACGAATTATGAGAGTAAATACTCAGATATTGAGGCCGTCTATGACAGCCGGATGATCATTTCTCACCATAGAGAAACCTGATCCCACTTTACATTCCGCACTTTTAATCTTCCGAACACATTCTAACTTTATCGTCGGAGGCGGAACTCCACCCAAGCGGAGTCTCCGTTGTTTTACAGGTATAGGCGTCTGGTGTCCAGTCTTGGTGTTGTAACTCTTCTGAGGGACACAGAAAACCCGAAACAAGCCTTAATGTCCTCAACGAGCTTGCTGCAAAGCCATTCACAAGTCACCATGGGATTTCTCTAAAAAAACCACAACTTTTATGCTCTCCTGTGAGTGTCTTAATGGCTCAACTTCTACCATCCATCGTTTTAGTGCTATGAATCCTCCACTCACAACCCTTAATGGCACATACTGCAGTATATCTCTCATTATCTTCCTTAAGAACCCTCACATAAAACCCCTCGTATATGCAAAAGTCTCTGGACACGACATTAAAGTGATCTTTAGATGAAAAAATCATCCAATTTATAAGCTTGATCGACCCTAACTAAACATCCCCTACAACAATTTCATTAATGTACAGCTTATCCAACCCAATTGAATCATCTAAGAAATCTTCAAATCCCTTTGGAACCACCGCTTTCTCTCCATCAGAAAAACACTCTCTATCTAAAGACACTGTCTCATATTCCGTGTTAGTTTCACCAACTTCATATTCATCATCATCATTGATGTCATCATCAAAGGACAAGTGGCCATTGGATATCTCTTCATGCTCAGCAACTCCATGTATCCTCACACCCTCTCTTTTCCTTAACTTTTTCACAGTGGGTACAAAAGTGCCTCTTTTCTTCCTTGTGCTTTTTGCGGGTTTGAATTTGTTTTTTATTGGTGTTGACTTCCTACCTACATACTTTTTTAGGTAATTTAGGCTGTTTTGGTGGTGGTGGTTTAGTTTCAGTTTGGTTATGTGGTGGTTGTTTGGTGGCGGTGGCTCGAGTTCAGTTTGGTTATGAGGTGGTGGTTGTTCCTCTATTTCAGTTTGGTTATGAGGTGGTGGTGGTTGCTCTGTTTCAGTTTGGTTATGAGGTTGTGATGTTGTTTGAGGGTGATTTTGAGGGGTGAAAACTGTGATTCTGGTTGAGTAGGCTGAGGTTGAGAGCCATACCCTTTGAAAGAAAACTCATCATCAGCTATCATGTATTCAACCTCTAAATTATGCGTGTTCACAATAGGTATTGTAAAATTAAGAGGTTGCAGCTGCTCATCCAACTCCCTCAATATGTCATCATCATAAGCAGAATCTTGTTGAGCAATCAAAATATCCTCCTCAATTATCCTATTATCAAGTGCTAACATAAATGGTTCCCCGGGATCTTCGGTCTCCTGAATCCAAATGTCAACAATATCTTCCCCACGAAAAAAAGGAAACATACGGAACAGAGCATTATCATCCAAAATATCCACCATCATCTCTTTCTTAGGGTGTTTGCAACTCATCTTTCAAATGTCTGGAAGGTAAACACCTTTCTTTACACCATTTTTTTTTATCACATCATCAACTTAAAATCCATGAAATCCATGAGGTCTATATCTTCTACCCTAACATCAAAACTTATTGCCTTGTAATGGCAACACATCCAAATACCCTTCATGACTAAACAACTACACATCAAAATATAGCAGGAAAAGTTAACATAAGCCATAAAAACAAAATGCAAAATTTAAACAACAAAAGCTATAAACATGCATAAAGCTAATAACTAAAGTCATAAAAAGTACTCTGTATCATTCTATATTAATTCTCATGTTTAGGCTACATGCATTAAAATACTTGTTACTACAAATTTTTAGTATGCTTTTAAGCAAGAGAAACAAATCATGGATTAACAACAATAATATACTTAGCACAACAATGATGACAATTAAACAAATGTTATATTTCCTATGCATAAAGCATAAAGTACACAACTGAAATGTGTTAGAGTACTAATCGTGGCCATAACTAAAGGGTTGTATATGCACTAATATGAAAACCAAAATATTGCAGAATTTCAACTATGACTATAAAATTGCAAAATTTTGACATAAAAAACCCAAAAAAATTGCAAAACTTCAACATCAACAGCCTAAAAAATGCAGAATTTTAACAACCAACAACTATAAATTGCTGAATTTCGACATTAAAAGCCCAAAAAAATGCATTATTTCGACAACTAGTATAAATTGCAAAATTTCGACCACTAAACCCTAAAAAATTGCAGAATTTCATTAATAAAAGGCCTAAAATTCCAGAATTTCGACATAAGAAATACCTCAATTTCAACACGCATGAACCCTAGTCCCCAAATTTCATAATTTGCAACAACGAATTCACTCCAGGTAAAACAAATTGAAGTATACTAACCTTTTCATCAAGCAATTGCACGATTCAATATCTCCGCTTGGATTGCGTTCGAAAATTGCTTCAACTTCCTTCTCCTTCAAAATAGGTGTTAGTGTTCTACTGTACGTATGTGTTAGTGTTGTGTTCAATGGCATCAACTATAATAACTGAGGGAATTATTTTTGACACTAACGGAAAGTTAACAGTGTTAGTAATAAGGGTGTCTAGTATATAATTATTATTTGGCAAGGGTACACGGTTCATTCAAAACTTTACAAGGGTACGTGGTACATTTTTTTTAAACCTGGGGGGTACACGGAATAATTTCCCAAATATATTATCCAATATCTAGTATCTAAAATTAAATTATTAGTTTACTTCGTTCTTCAATTAAATGTTATCTTCAAGTTTATAAATATAATTAACTCTTTTTAACAAAACATTGTATACATAAAATGTGTCATTGAATAGTGGTTGAAGTTAAAGTATAATTGATGATGCATTATGAAGGTGTAAGTTTAACTTAAGTTGGAGGCTACTAGCTATTCAATTGATATTCTCAATTAATAGTTGTGTTTAATTATGAGACTTGTAACATTTTTTTTTTTTGAATTACAAGTATTTTATATAAAGCTATGTCATGGTTAGTAACGAAAAACACTCCATTACATGATCGAAGTTGTGTTCTCAGCCCTTCTTGAATATTTAGCGAAAGCTTGTGTAACTCCAATCCCTCACCCTCAATTACACGAGTGTGTGGGAGTGATGCTAACCTTAGGGAATGTTTGTACCTTGGATGGAACGAAACGCGTTTTCAAGGCAGTGGTTTTTCCACGACTTCACATACCCTATATCTCAAAAATCATATTTGTAATTTCTCTACCTACATTAGTTTATCTTCACTCTCTTTATTTGTAGCCTTGATACAACCTATATTTCTAACAAATTTATCATGGTTGATTGGAGCTATATAACAATTTGAGTACATGATACGTAGCTGTTTTTCTTTTTAATCAATTTATGCATAAAATTCCAAGACGATTGATTATAATGTTAATTTTTTGATAGACGATTGCCTATTTGAAATTTTTATTCTTGTGGAATTATGATATAATTTTAATTTATTATATTTTCGATGTTACTTATCGAATTATTTCATCATAAACAAATTTATCGAATTCGCTTATTTATTAACAATACACGTGTCAATTTATCATCCATATATGTCGCCTACGTGGCGTGACAGTTTTTTTTTTTTTAAACGTTTCCACTAGGCGAAAAATCGAAACGGGTCAAGCGTTGTTGTCTCGTGACTTGCTTAATTAAATTATAACTTTATAAAGTTATAAGATTAATTTGAAAAGTTATCATTTATTATATATATTACCTCCATTTGTATTTCTTGCAACATTTACCATTTTGGGTGTATTCCTTGCAACACTTTTTTCCCTTATTTGGAAACTTTTTTCTATCAAAATGACCGATATACCCTCATTTAAAGTTTTTTAGCACATAATACTACACATAATTACAACTCATTATAACCCTAATCTAAATTAATTATGTAAAAAACCCACTCAAATAATCAGACCCATTATCAAATTTTTCAGCTCTCATCTCTCATAATCAAATTGGTGGTTCGTCGGGGGTTCAACAGGGGTTCTTCAAATTTAGTTGTAAGTGGGTTGTCAGTGGTTCGTCAGGGGTTCATCAGTGGTTTTGGTGGTGATTCTGGGTATGCTGGGTTCATCAGTGGTTTGGTGGTTTGTGGCCTAGTGGGTCTAGATTTGGGTTCGTTGGTGTTGGTTTGGTGGTTCGTGGGTGTTGGTGTTGGTAGTTTGTGGGTGTTGGTTTCGTGATTCGTGGCCTCATGGGTCTAGATTTGGGTTCGTAGGTGTTGGTTTGGTGGCTTGTGGGTGTTGGTTTGGTGGTTTGTGGCCTCGTGGGTCTAGATCTGGGTTCGTGGGTGGTAGTTTCGATGGTGGTTTTGGGAGGCGTGGGTCTGGGTGGCGTGGGTATGAGTGGTGGTGGTGGTTTGTGGGTTTGGGTATGGGTTCATGGGTTGTGGTTCTAGGTGGTAGTGGTTCGTGGGTGGTGGTTTTGGGTGGCGTGGGTTGCAAAAGGTGGTGGCACGTCCGTCGGTGGTGGCATTGTATTTTTTGTTGTTTAATTGATTTTTTTAGTTGGATTAATTATTCACCCTTTCTCCTCCTTTATTACATCATTTACATGCCCTTTCTTTTCGATAATTAAGCGTAAAAAGTTTTAACTTGGCATCCGTGCTCTCCCCCTTTGTTCCAACAAATAAGAAACGGAGGGAGCATGAAATATTGGAAGTATATCAACAATAAAACTTTATTTAAACTCTTATCCTATTTTTTAAATCCCAAAATTCGCTTACTTCTATTTGTTGTTTACGTGGTGTGACCCTTAGTGAAAAGTTAAAATGCCGAGCGTTGCTCTCTCGTGACCTGGCTGCGAGACTCGTCTTTATTTAAAGTGATAGTGATATTAGATTAGATAATTCATGTCATAATCATGCGTCAATCGGTGCATTCTAATTTATGATTTCTACTTTTGGTAATCCTATCTAATAATGCACCATGAGTCCTTGATATAAGTAATAGTGATATTAGATTAGGTAATGCATGTTGTTTTTGGGTAAAAATACCCTAGGCCACGTGGACCAATCAAATGGTGACACGTGTCACCTTAAAAGAGGTTCAAAGGAACCAATCCTTTCTTGACACGTGGCACGCCTAATCATTGGGAAAAAGGAGGCCTTCCTGGCCTAATTCCCGAGATAGCCCACCATTCCAAGGTTTCCGTAACCTAGGATGGCGGCACGCATTTTGAGACTCTATAAATAGGGAGATGTTCCCATCATGGGACACATTCAGAAAATATTCACAAAAACAGAGCAATTATTAATTGCAGATATTACTCCTGATCTCGGAATCCGAGAAGATACTTTATTTTTCGCACTTTTTACAGACTCCACACACGTTCTAACTTGATCATCGGAGGCGGAACTCCACCCAACCGGAGTCTCCGTTGTTTTGTAGGTATAGGCGCCCGGAATCCAGTCTTGGAATTGTAACTCTCCCGAAGGACACAGAAAACCCCGAAACATTTTGGTGCGGGTCTGTGGGGAGAGTACTTCTAAGATGGCTTCACATGAGTCTGTACCACCTGCTAATGAGAAACGGCCTTTGGCCGAAGTTGACGTCTATACAGACCAAGATAGTGGTGACGACTTCGATGTTGACACCTATGTGGCCCCAGACGGGTCACTCAGAATAAGGTGCACCCGTCCTTTAGAAATAAAGGAACGGAGCACTGAACAAGCTGGCCCAAGTGTGCCATCCGCAATGCTGTCTGAACCACAGGCGGCAGAAGGCACCGCCCATGTTACTCGAAATGAGCTCATGGAATTCATGACAAGTTTCAAAGGGGAAATCAAAGATCTGATCAACAAAAAGACGGCTGGCACCAACAAGGGTCAATCGGCCAAGAAACCTTCTCCCTTAGGGAAGAAGAAGTCTGTCAAAGACCGTGTGCCTACTCCTCATCCTAAACCAAAGGAGAGGGACTGACCCATGGTTGATCTGTCTAAAATTCAGTTTCTTGAAATAGGGAAGAGGAAGGTCATCCAGAAAGTTCAGCCTGATGGATCAAAGAAGACTTATTCTGATGCCCGGATGTTAATCCAGCAAAAGAAAAGTCAACAACTGTCTGAGTCGGCCTCAACGCCGACTTACCCAGACAGCTTTCAGAATACCTCGATGAGGTATTCGCAATCAAACCGAGAGGATCAGTCAAGCGGCCTGTCCGTCCACTCTAGCCCTCAGATAATCCATTCGGCTCCGTATGTGCCTCAGCAGCCATACATGCCATATGGGCAACAATATATGCAGCCCGCTCTCTTTGGGGGTCAGGCGGCACAGAATGTCCAACCTTTGGACTGGCAGCTTCGTCTGCTCAAACTTGGGGAACAACCTTCTGCGTTCTCCAAGGAGATAACCGATGCGGCACAGCCGGCCAAGGTTAAGAATGTGTTGGTGGGAATCTTTGATGGTACCACCAACCCTGAAGACCACCTGATGGCCTACACCAGCATCATGTACCTACAAGGGTTGGACGATGTCACCTGGTGTCAATGCTTCCCGGCTACATTGAAGGGCATTGACCAACGATGGTTTGGCAACCTGCCAGCCGGATGCATAAACAGCTTCAAGACGCTGGCGTACTTGTTTGCTTCCAATTTCTCTACGAACATCCCTGCAAATAAAACAAGTCTAGACTTGGGTGCTATACAAAAAGGAGATAGAGAAGGGCTTAGGTCCTACGTCAGGCGGTTCAATCTGTTGAGAATTCAGATTCAAGGTCTGTCTGACAAAATGGCTTACACAGACTTCTTCAAAGGTCTGAAAGACGGGTTGACCTTTAAGTTCGACCTTGTCAGAAAGAGGGTTGCTACCCTCCAAGCGGCGCTGATGGAGGCGAAAGCCTATATACAGGCAACTGAACTTTGTGCCATCAACAAACAGCCGGACCCTAAGAAGTCCGACAAAAAACATAGTTGGCCTACTCAGCAGGCTAAAAAGAAGAGAGCAAGAAAAGAAAAGAAGTTTGGATGGTAAATGATTCTGAACAGCCATCCCAGAAGAAGAAGAAGAAAGAAAAGGAGTTTAAACCGTACGTCCCCAAGTACGAGTTTAACAAGGACTGCTACTCCATCCTCATGGAGATCAATGACCGGGTGACTATTGACAAACCGGCTGCAATGAAGGGTTCCGCCAGAAATCAGAACAAAAACAAATACATCATTTCCATGAGGACATAGGCCATGACACCAATGACTGTTACAGCCTCAAACGGTTATTGGACCGTCTGGCCAATAAAGGAGTGCTGAAGTCCTAAATTTTGAAGTCCAAGGTGACCCTAAGGACTAACAATGGACATCCGTCCAAAACGGCACCCCAATATGCTAATAGTTGGGAACTGAGGAAGAGCCGATCTATACCATAGCAGGCGACTTTGCTGGAGGGGGCCCAACCATGCGGGGCACCAAGGATTACATCAGGCGACTGGATGTCAGTTCACTTGATGAGGGTCAGGCGTCAAAAGACACCTTTCCTGAGGTCATTATCACTAAGAAAGACAGGGGCAAGGTCA